GTTTAAAATCGAAAAAAAAAAAAAATGGTATCGGTATGCTTTGAACACCGGCGTCCTAGAAATTTTCTTAGTTTACAGCCGTTTTCAAAATTTTGTGGAAGACGCAAATCACTATAACATGGGGAATTCACGATATTTCCCAGATTTCCAGAGTCTTTAAGACCCGTTATAATCGGGTTTTTAATTTTTACTAAGCAGGATTTCCACATTCTTCGATTCCCCCATGGGTATATTAATATGGAAATCGTTTTCCACAACTTTTTGAAACAGCTGTAAAAACGAAGAACAAAAAACAAAATAGTATGCTTTAACATCACCAAAAAAAAAAAAAAAAATCTCAATTCTATCTACTGTGGGTTCGACACTTCATTAGTTTGTAAACTGACTAAATTTCCTCTAATTGGCAAAATTCCGATTGCTTATCAAGAAAATTCTATAATTTTTCATTCGTCAGATTACTTCTAAAACATTCTAATAGGCAGTTAACTACTCTTGTAGTGATAATAATCATTGCATTCTGGCTTGAGACTTAATAAAAAGATCGATAACGTTTTCTAGATTAACAGTTTTTGTTGTGTCGTTCTTTATCTGTTGCTCTATACTAGTTTTAATTTTGTTGACTTTTAAAATTAAATCGTGTTGTTTGAGTCTAAAAATTTCTTGTTTAAGTTGAATAAAATTGTAGGATTGCTTTGGAAAAAGTAAATCAAATAGTTCTTGGATTGCTGCTTTAGGTTATTTATTGTTTTACGAACTTCTTCAAAAGAGTCTTGAGAATTACTTGCTTCACGAACTTTATCGTCAAAAAGCTCTTGTGAATTACTTGAGCCACTACAATTGTCATTGCAAATTCTTGTAAGAAAATAAAATAAAATAATAATTGAAAATTTAACCAATATTAACTAGTTTATTTTTACCTATTTTTATAGAGAATATGAGGTTTCTTATCCTATAGTAAAATAAAGTTTTATAAAATATAAATTTCGAAATTTATACGAAATTTTTATTTTATTTTTTATTTTATTTTATTTTAACTTGAATATATTTATCATCCTCATCTTTTGAGGGTAAGAATTTGATCTTTATATTTTTTGGTCCAATAAAAGTTTTTTTTACACCTGAGTAGAAAAGAGCTGCCTCGTGTTCGGAATCAAGGTGGACGTGGCCGTTTCTAAAAAATGATAAATTTATTTATAAAGAACATGGTATTACTTATCAGTTATTCTTTTTAGTACATGAAATTTTAGCTGGTTTTCTTCAATAACCGGAATTGTGCTGATGAACAATTCCTCTACGCCACCCAAAAAAAACCAAGTACGACGAAACACAACATATTGCTCTTGGTCTTCTTAACGCTAAATAAACAAAGAATTAATTGTTAGAAAAGCAAAAAAAAAAACTTCAGCGAGGTGTAACAAAAATAAGGTCATTTATGTGTATTAAAAAACGTGTCTTCGGGTTGGAGTGTGCGCAATAAATAAATAAATAAATAATAAATAAAATAAAATAAAACTACTACGAAATAATGAAAACAACCCTCGGATGAAAGGTGTGTTATAAAACGCGCGTTTTGGGCGAAGGCTGCGCGAGAAAAAAAATATATTTCGGGCGAATATATGTTATAAAGTGCGCGTTTCGGGCGAAGGCTGCGCAAGAAAAACCACTACTTCGGGAGAAGTGTGTATAACGAAAAAAAAACACACCTTCGGGTGAAATATGTGTTATGAAGCACGCATAAAAAATAAAACCAAAAAATAAAAAAAGATGTATATAATAAAGAAAAGACACTACTTCTGTTTAAGTGTATAAAGCACTACACTGAAGTGTGTATACTTCGACGAAATACCATAAAAAAAAAAAAAAACAGGGAAATGTGTAATAGAAAAAACACTACTTCTGATCAAGTGTATAAAACACTATTCTGAAGTGTGTGTACGTATCTTTAGGTAAGCACTATTTCAGGTGAAGTTTGCGTTTAGGAAAAGTGTGTGTAATAATCATAAAATAATAAAGAGGCATTTCTAAATAATTACGCTATTTCGCGTACTTACCTATGTTTTCTGTTGATGAAAAAGATAAAGAAAAAAAAAGGCAAATATATAACAATTTGAGTTACACGGACGCTGCAAGTGAAAACATTACAAGATTCGCGCGCAAAATTTTAGGGTGTAGTTTTATTCATAACTACCCCAACAACTAGGTTATACCGGTAACCGGTATAATAGAAATGGTAGTATAATATATACCCAAGCATAATACGGTATGTATACATTATTGGATGCTTCGCATCCAATAACTATATAGTATAGGGCAGTGTTGTTCACTGGAACGTTCCAGTGAGAATTACTGGAACTGGATCTAACTGGAACGTTCCAGTGGGAATTACTGGAACTGGAAGATCACTGGACTAAACTGGATGGAATTTAAGCTACCCATTTATACGAATCACAGACAGGGTCGTTTCTGATAACCAGAGTAACTTAGGTAATCCGGCATAGATCGTGCGATAATGTTAGACTTTGTTAACGAATTAAAGAATTATTGAGAAATCGGAATCCTTTTTTTACAATGTTTTTGGTATATAAAAAAATATTGATTATATTATCGTAATGAGATACACGAATAAAGAAAAATCATTATTTTAGAATCTTGAAGCAGTATCAAAAGATGAATTAGAAAATAAACTGAATATATTGCATTGAAGCTCGAAAACAAAATTAGTCGCCAACTAACTAATTTGATTGGCCAAAAATCACATTTAGATTAGCCAATCAGATGAATACGTTCCAGTGAGAAAATCGTTCCAGTGGGGTTTCTCACTGGAACCACTGGAACACTAGAAGAATCTGGACGTCCAGTGGGTTCCAGTCATTCAGCGACAACACTGGTATAGGGTATTATACCAACAGTATAATACGGTATAGGTACCCTTTTCTGTGCAGTCACGTGGTATTGTATAAAATCAGATAAGCGATATTCATTAATACTTCTAACGAAGGTTTCTCAATAACTAAATATCAGTAAAAAACAAATCGTAATAAAATTTTTTATTTTTAAAGCTTTAAACGAATATTTCCTCAACAACCACTTTACAAATACGATGAGAATTATTTTATTTTAATTCTGTGAATCTACTGAATTAAAATGAAAAAATTTTATCGAATTTGAATAGGTGGTTGTTGAGAAATATTCGTAAAATTCAAACCAAAATTTTGGCCACAGCTTTTTTTTAACAGAACATAAACTTTGAACGAGTATTACTCAACAACCACCTAATCAAATTCGATCAAATTTTTTTTTTTATTTAATTCTATAGTTTATAGGATTAAAATAAAAAAAATTTTGATCGAATTTGATTAGGTGGTTGTCAAGTAATACTCGTTCAAAGTTTATGATCTGTTAAAAAAAGCTGTGGCCAAAATTTTGGTTTGAATTTTAACGAATATTTATCAACAACCACCTACTCAAATTCGATAAAATTATTTTATTTTAATTTAGTAGATTCATAGAATTAAAATAAAATAATTTTCATCGTATTTGTAAAGGTGGTTGTTGAAGAAATATTCGTTTAAAGCTTTAAAAATAAAAATTTTGTTACGATTTTTCTGATACTTAAATTTTTTTCTAAAATTTCTCAACAACCGTTAAGCCAAATTCAATAAATCTTTTTATTTTGATTCTACAAGAGTATCGAATTAATATAAAAAATTTTTACAGAATTTGATCAATGAAAAAAACGGATCGAAGGCTTATAACGATACGATTATCGATTGTTTTATTATAGACATTTAGAGTTATCTATATACGGATTATTAGATAAAAGGATAAGGGTAATGACAGATATTACGTAATATCCTGAGGGGGGAGGGGGGTCTCCAACATCTTATGTTAAATATATAAATTTATAATAGCCAATCAAAATTTTTTTACGTGGGGGGTGAGGGTATAGTAAAAAAAATATTACGTAATATCTGTCACTACCCTAAATGAAGTGCTAGTTATAATCGTTTTCGCTTAAATATTGCATAAAAATAGTGTTAAACTAGCACAATTATTCATAAGGCGAAGTCTCAACAAAGTAACTCTCTAAAGCTGAACGAACATCTTCTATATTAGGAAATGACAAGCCAATTCGCAATGTTTTACTTGACATCATAGTGGTTCGTTATAACAATAAGCAATTTCATACCGATACAAAGAAAATTAAATTTATTAAATTTAAAAAATTTTCTTTTTCATTTATAATTACTAATTTACAATCGATTGTTACATTTTTTATGCAATGTTTACGTTTTTTTATACTAATAAGATCAAGCCACAGGCGTGAAGAGTGTCATAGTTATTTTGGGGCCCTTATATGTAATATTTTTTAAAAATTAAGCCCTTATATGTATATTTATTTTTAATTTTGGGCCCGTATTCGTAATTATTTTAACTTTCCGGGCCCTTATTTGTAAATTCACCTTAATTTTATTTTATTCACGTTAATTTAGTCCGTGAGTATAAAGAACATTTATTACAATGTATCTAAAGTAAGCTATTCAAGTTCATGAATATTTATTATTTAATTCTACGTATTTTTATTAGTTCGCGAGTATTAAAAATGTTTATTAATCCAAATATTAAAATAAGCTATTATAGTTCTTGAATATTTACTGTTTAATTTTATTTATTTTATTCGCATTGATTTGTCAGTGAGTATAAAAAATATTTATTAATCTAAGTATTAAAATAAGCCAATCAAATTCATAAATATTTACTATTTAACTTTTATTCGCATTAATTAGTCGGTGATATATAAACAAAATGTAAAATAATTAATAGAATACAATTAATAATTAATAAAGAGATTCAAGTTATGAAAAATGTACACATTGTAATGAATATAACACATGGAAGGTATGGTGTACGGCATGTGATCCTGACATAACAACTCGAGAATGGACAAGTGGAAATAAGGATATCGATAATTACATCAAAGGGTTTCAACTTAGAATTACTCATTACAAAGGTATGATTGAATGGACTCCATTCGGTAGGCTAAATAATATTAAAAAAATTGGTGAAGGAAGATTTAGCTCTGTATTTTCCGCGATCTGGTTGGATGGTATACGAAAGATTAATGGTGATGAGGATAATTATACACGAGTACGTGAACCATCTAGCACTGTTGCACTCAAGACCTTATCTGATTCCAAAGAAAATCATGATTTTTTGAAAGTTAAATCATTGTACGGTTTATTACATGTTGAACTAATTCGTTTCAATAAATTTACAAAGTTTGAAAATCATGTGAAATGTAATACATACAGTAGCCATTTTAAGATATATGGATTGGCTCAAAAACCAAAAACACAGAAACAAATGAATACTTGATGGTATTTCAATATGCCAATAATGGAAGCCTTCATATGTTTTTAAGAATGAAATTCCGTGATCTTACCTGGAAAGTTAAATTAAAACTACTTACAGATATTTCAGATGATTTAATTAACATTCATCATGCTGGGTATATTCATGCGGACTTCCACAGTGGTAATATTTTGCAAGATGAAGGTATTAGTGAAAGTCTGCAATCATACATCTCAGATCTAGGATTGTCTAAAAAGGCAAATGAAAATGATTCAGAAAGTGGTATTTATGGAGTTATGCCTTATATCGCTCCAGAGGTTTTATATGGTCAAAAATTTACACCAGCTGCAGATATTTATGGCTTCGGAGTCATTATGCCAGAAATGTCAAATGGACAAAGACCTTTCGATGGTTATCAATTTGATGATAAACTTGCAGTAAATATTTGCTTCGGATTGCGGCCTGAATTTGCGCCTGGGACTTCTGCGTGCTATATTGAATTAGCTAAACAATGCATGGATTCTGATCCACAAAAATGACCTACTGCTTTTAATGTTTGGGTGGATCTTGACAAATGGAATAAAACCATGAATGATTCATATAATGAGGATTCAGATGATGCTGTTGCATCTAAAGTAGCCACCCTATCTAAAGTAGCCCTGGGCTAGAATTACGATTTAGTGCATGCATGAAGATCTAATTTCAGGGGCCTAATTTTAGTCAGGCGCTACTTTATATATCTAAAGTAGCTACTTTAGATAAATCGCTACTTTAGATGCAACAATGCCAGTGCAATTAAAAAGCGATTCCTAGATGCCGATAAATAATCAACTCTTTGTTAATTAACACCAAAACATTCGGATTTTACGTACACTAGCAAAAACATAAATACTCAAAAAATTTCAAGTGCAGTTAAAGGTATTTATTCTAAAATTATGCAATAATATTTATTCAATAAAACTAATGTTATATATTAACAGCTTTACTAAGTAAACCTGTAGTTTCTACTGAAATTCCATTGATAAGTGCTATATTAAGCTTACAGTATTTATAATTAGATAAATTTGTTAATTATTTTACATTTTATATATTTGAGTTAATTACTTTAAAGGTATAAATTTATTACTCGTGTAGTCTAAATTTTATATAGTTATTGCATACGAAGTATGCAATAACTGCTGTATTTTATGGACGATGATGATTGGTTGGTAACCCAGCCGGTACGGTTGGATTATCGAACGATCAGAAGAGAACATAAAATGCAGCAGTTAGTGCTTACGGAGCATGCAATAACGGTTTTATTTTATGATTTACTATTTCAGATATATGAAATAGTTTAATTATTTTATCATATAAAAATATATACCATAAAATAATTGATTTATTTTATAAACTAGATGTGAACGTGAATCTATTAATTCACAATAGATTAAAAAAAAATCAGACCCGCCGACTGGAATTTTGGAGCACCAGGTTATGCAAACAAAAAATTAACTA